TGCCTTGTTGGTGGGCATCTTATCGAGGAAATTGAGAACTGAATGACCTGGGATCCATTCCCTTCCATAGAGAGGTTTGGAAACCTCACATAGTCTGAGGGACCAGCATAAACTTTGCAGTCAGATAAACTTGGGTTCAGATTCCAGCTCCACCAGTTACTTGCTGTGTGTCTTTGAGTATGTTGTATGAGTTCCCTATGCCTCAATTTCTCCTCTGACCGTAAAGCAGAAAGCTGGTACGTACAGAAGAATAGTGCTTGGTATTTAATAAATGCTCAAAAAACATGATATTATTGATACTTTTACCTTGTACTAATAATAGTTTTAACAATAATAACAGTAATAATTATTGTGGATATTGAATAGTATTGTGGATCTAAAGCACTCATCACATGATAGATATTCGAAAATATTAGTTTCTGCTTCTCTTCTCAGATTACCTGTGCCCAGTTATGAATTCTAGAGACACTAGAAGTTCTCTTCTATCTATGGAAGAAGCAGGCTCGATATGACTCAAGGCCCTCTGGTTCCATTTTGGGGGGCAAATTTCTCTCTCTCCTGCAGGGCAAGTCATCATCTAGAAGCAAGGAGAAGTGACAAAAATATAGGAGATGTCAGTTTAGACTTGGTTACGGCAGGCGTGGGAACAAGTCAGCAGAGACAGATGTGTTTAACGGCCAATGTATTTGTCCAAAGGAATCATTTTCACTGGCCAGGAGCCCAGTTAAACCTGTAAAATGGAAATCCAGAAAATCAGCTTAACGAGCCAGTCATTAGTAAGGAAGAGGCCCAGCTAATGCTGTGTTTAGCATGACTGATGGTCCCAGAGCAAATAATTGGATGACATCCATCAAATGTAAAATAAAAGGTGTCACTGAAAGGGAAAGTAGTAATAATCTCTGGGATTTACAGTGCCAGCAAATTTGCTTGTAAGGAAGAGAAAAGTTCATCAAAATAGATTAATAGGCACTAAACTTTATTCCTTCCTTGTGTGATTGCCAGAGAACCACACAAATAATAGCGGAGAGGCAGCAAAGGCACTAGGCTGGTATCATTCCAGCACTGGGAGGACTCTGCTCCTAAGGGGGAATATGCTAGAACTTCTGTTTGGAGATAAGCCCCTGTGACCAGCAGGGACTGGGCAGGGATGGAGTTCTTCTCTACAGCCACCGTGTAGCCACTAAACGATGGAGAAAATCGAACTCAGAGGCTCTCTGTTTGAGCAAATGAATCACAATTCATTGTTCAGTCAGTAAGTATTGACTTCCTGCCCTATGCCTGCCGCTTTGGAGATGTGCTCATTCCTAGTTAAATTTTTAAGCATAGGCTGGAGTTGTACAGTGGCTGGGACAATGAAAGGTTGTATGATGTTGGGCAAATTAGTGACCTCTCTCAGCCTCAATGTCCTGACCTGGGGAGCATATATATATACATATATACACACATATATATATATATATATATATATATATATATATATATACACACACATATATCTCCTCTACATGTCAGGAATATATATATGTATATATATAAGTGCAAATGAAGTATAGTATGGTTTATAAACTGCTTACTGTAGCATCTTCCACGTAATATGCTTTCTCACTGCATGGTGATTACTTACTATTCCTGTTGTTTTTATTATCTCACTTCTCTTCTAAGAAGACATCATTTTTAAGATGCAGTGTCAATGTCATGGCTGATTCTCTGGGAATATGAGGAAACACAAACATATACACACAAGTCAATTACAGAGATTTAAAAAAATTTTCTTAAAGATGTTGGAATTAAGGAAATGTTACAATTGTTGACATGAGTAAGATGAATAGAGGATTTGTCTCAGTCACAGGAGGAGGAGAACAGGTTTAGAGCCAATCTTTACTAGGTTGATATTTGTCTTATCTTGGGCAAGTCATTCCATATCTTATAGACTCTGCAGGGTTGTCAGTGGGATTAAACTAGATAATTTATGTAAGGGAGGTTCTGGAGCGTGGTAGATGAACCCGATTGATGACAGTTTTATCATTTTTTTTATCATCATGCATCCACTGATTGCCTGCCGTGAGACCAGCATTACTTAGTAATCAAGAAGTTACACCCTTATAATAAGACATGGAGGGACCATTATAGGTATATGTACACCACAAGAGTGAATGTCGAAAGTGCTATAGAAATGGAAATAACAAAATTCAGGAGATGAGAGGAGGGAGAAGTTGTAATGAATCGGTGGCATCCACAACCCTTCCATGAACTCCGGGGCCTTACACTGAGGTTTCTGCAGTACAGAGAGTGGACGGCCAGGACAGAGGCGGAGCTGCAGGAGCCAGCTTGATGTCGCTGGGGGAGGCTATGGCATCAGAGGTACTGGGGAACCTCTGGGCTCCTTGGCCTTCGTGCAGCCCTTTAATATTTTAGATTATCCCATGGTAGTTCTGAAGTGTAATTCCATCTTCATGCTTTATTTAAGCAGAAACTCTCCCAGGTTGTGTGTGTGAGCTTCTGTGTGTGTGTGTGTGTGTGTGTGTGTGTGTGTTTTGTGTGTGTGTGTGTGTGTGTGAGAGAGAGAGAGAGAGAGAGAGAGTATCTGTGCTTGCACAGGGCCATACATGCATGGCTGGGCTGAGTTCCAGAGTCAGGTCAGCGGGACCCTATCAAGGGGACCACTCTGTTCTCCTTTGGCCCTTGGTAAGTTAGAAACCCCAGGGGGCCCTGCCTTGCTCTGTGGTGCTGATAAGAAGCCTGGTGGTGCTGTCATCTTGTTCCCTGTGGAGGTGACTGGGTCTTCGGGGGAAATGCTGCTTTTAATTGCTGACCTCTGGCCAGCATTAGTCACGGGATTCTGACCCTGGTCTAATTCACTCAGGGTGAGGTTGGTGAACTTCAGGATGTTCTGTGGAGAGCTGATTGTCAAGCACATGATGGGAGACCAGAGGATATATTTGGGGGTTTAAAAACTTCATCACTGGGTAAAAGGTCTTCTTGGGTGGGGATGATGCAAATGATTTAGAACTATGTCAGAGGTGGTGGTCATACAACATGGAGAAGGTTCTAAATGCCACCGAATTGTACACTTTAAAATGGTTAATTTGATGTTGTATGAATTTCACCTTAATTTTAAAAAGACTTTATTATCACTGTAAACACAAAATTCAGGGAAGTGGCTACATCTCAGAGGGAGGCAGGGGTCAGGACAGGCGAGGAGCACAGCGGCATAGAGGTGTATGTCAGTTGGCACTGAAGTTCTTGTTCTGTGCTGCTCCAAGTGTGGTCCCCAGACCAGCAGCATCAGCATCATCTAGAACTTATTAGAAAAGACAATTCTTGGACCTCATCCCAGACTGATTGAATCAGAGGCTCTGTGGGTGGGGCCCAGCAGTCTGAGTTTTAACGAGCTTTCTGGGCGATTCTGATGCATGCTGAAGTTTAAAAACTACTGATCTAGTTCTTGGGTTTGCAGGTACGTTTATATGTGTTGGTTTTATAATTAGAAATAAAACCAAATTAAAGAAGCGAATAAATAGGATAATGCCAGGACTCATGGTGACTGTGCTTAGAACCAAGGGTTATATTTTAATCTGATTCTATGTAGTTGAGATGTATTTAAAAAAGAAAAACAAAAGACTTCTCAGCAACTCATTGGTCTTAATCTGTCAACACCCCACCTGTAAGCCAACACGGAGCAATATGGCTTCAGAACAGATGTCTTATAAAAAAAAAAAAGTCTTGGAATACAAGATAAGAATGATTCTAATTAGAAAATAGAGACGTAAGGATAGCAGTGACCATCAGGGGGAAACCAGTCTCTCCTCTTGGTTCAAAGCCTAAGACTTTGCACCAAGGTTTTTCCAAGGCTCTGCCTTCACACTGACTCGAACATCTGTTCTACCTGGCAGCTTGTGGGGCCTGCTGTGTGGGCTTGCAATCTGCGCAGGTCAAGAGAGAGCCACGGGAAATGCCATCTCTTAGAGTGAGGAGCGATGGGTGGCTTTCAGTAGAGAAGTTATACGCCCCCTGCTCCCAGCAGCCGCTTGGGCGGGCACTAGGGTTGGACCAGGGTCAGGGGACTGGCCTATCTTCAGCAGGAGCCTGGGCTTCCAGTGATTGCTTCCTCAGCACAGCAGCCTGGTTGCTACTGTCCTCCTGTTATTTTCTCTGAGCAGCCTATGTTGTCTTCTCCTGTGAATATTAATTTCCCCTGAGTTAGGATAATTGGGCCGAGAGCAGCCACCTGCAGAGCTATGCCATGTTGGCGAGACTTTCCAGCAAGCCCAGGCCAGGGGACCCTTTCTTGGAGTGGTTTCCAGGTTCCTCTAAGAATCCATCTGTTGCCAAGTGAGGTTTCAGATGTTGACTCCCCCTGCCATGAGCTAGTAGAACTGAGACTCAGACGTAAGATTTCTGACTTTCAAATCCAGAGTTCTTTCTCTGACTTTTGATGCCTTTAATGAACTAACACATGGAAAGAATCAGTCAGTATCTGCTCAATGCGTGGATTTGTAAATAGGAAGGAAAATAATTGTGCTCAGAGAGGTAGTGAAATTAATTTCAAAGTAATAAGGCTTTGAGCAATAGTAATTGTTCAGATGCAAAACAAATTTTCTTTGACAATCATGTCATCATTGCAGTGGATGAAAAGCTGTTGAAAAAAAAAGAATATATAGATCACGGGTACAGCAGACACAGTAGCTTCTCTGTTTTCAGTTGAAAATATTTATTAAGTGTGTATGTATTCAGAACACCGTGACAGAGTACAGAGCCCCTGCTCTCACAGACATTGCCAGCCGCAGGGGAAGACTGTCGGAATTACTTATTGTCTAGGTGCTGTGCTACAGGAGCAACTCAGGGCACTGTGGGGTTGGAGGACCAAAGCCAACAGGGAGTATATTCCCTAAAAGGTTGTTACAAACCTACTGTGGCTGTTGGTGGAGAGGCTACTGCTTTCCACCGTGTGCCGTGATCCGTAGCTCCATCTGACCTTTTGTGTTTTCCCCATGATACAGGTAACAACTGGTGGAAGAGCCAGCTACTACGTGTCTTACCGAAGAGAAGCCTTCACTCAGATAAAGCTGCCCAAGTACTCGCTGCCCAAGGTACGCACCACCTGCTCCCCTGGGTCCTCTGGGGAGAGGCTGCCTTGTTGGGCTGCAGAAGGTTTGATCCCTGCCTGGGAGACAGCTGGCATTCAGCCGCACTTAACCACTGTGGGGTCTAGCCTCTGCTGATGTCGCTGAATCTGGGTTCTGTGTTCCCCTCTCAGCAGGGTGCACAGGCAAGAGCTTTGATTTCCTATGATTCAAACATCCAATATAATCTTGGGTCATTTCCCAGGACTGGTAGTGAAAGGAACACTAGCTTTGCAATCTCTTCTGAGGGCGCCTCCCTTTCACAAGGGCCTTATTGACAAGTAGAGGGCCAGGCTTAGAATGGTCCAGGCAGAAACCATAGGTAGGTAGGTAGATAGATAGATAGATAGATAGATAGATAGATAGATAGATAGATAGATAGATAGATGTGGACAGGTTAGTCTCATGGCTTTCTTGCTTTTCTCTACCCTTCAATGCTAAATATAAATGCACTGCCTGTATTTCCACTCCCTTCTGCCACTATGAGTAATTAAAAAGGAATAATTTACTATAAAATTAATATCAACTCATGACATTTTAACTCCTGTATTGGAAAATCATAAAACTTACTCTGTGGACCTCATCCCCTGTGAACAATGGCTTCTGGGAGGAGACAGATCTTAGAACCTCGGTATGAATGTGGGAGGGCTTTAGTTGCATCACCTATTAAGGCTGCAAAGAAGCAAAGTCTCAGGTTGGACACGTATCAAATGTAATGGTACAAAGACTTGGATCTCTAAGTTGGTGCTAGGAAACGTATCATGAAAGGCGAAATGAGTACAGAGGTAGTAGGGATTATGGGATAAGAAGGTGGATAACCACCTACCCCTGGTTGCTTTTATACTTTCACCTATTCATATAAGCATGCACATACCCATTCATTCATTTGTTCCTTCATTTATTCACCCATCGATCTATTCTTTCTTCCATTTAAGTTTTTACTCTGTGCCAGGCACTGAACTAAGCTCTGTGGTTAGAGTGGTAAATAAGATACACACGTTCCCTGCCGTAATGGAGCTTGTATTCTCGTAGAGAAGAGACACTGAACAAGCAACTGTGGGTGTAGGGAGTATTATAGGTACAGAAGTTCAAGGGCCATTGTGACATGATAGTTGGAGCTCACCAAATATGGGTAGAGAAGACGAGTTTCCTAAAGAAAGTGATGCTTAAGATGATTCAAGACAGATAAGGAGTTAACCCTGCAAGCAAGTGTTCGGGAAGCTGGTAGAAAATACATATACTGGCCCGATTTTGAGAGAGAGTATGGTTCATTTAACAAACTGGAAAACTATATTGAGAGACTGGGTTGCACAGAGAGAGGTGGAGAGGCTGATGAAATTCACAGGGACCATGGGAAGTAGCCTCAGGGGCCATGGGCGTTAATTTCTCATTTTCTCTAATGTCCCTGTGATTGGCTTTCTAGGCCCATTGCATAGGACTCCGCTTGCAGGATGTACCCATCAGATATTCTAAACCCAAGCAGGAAAGAGGTATCCCTGCTTGCAGAAGATGAGGAAGTTCATGACCATGTTCTTTCTAAAGGAGAATGACCCTTAGCGGCAACCTGGTGATTTCCATGGATTGGCCCAGGAAAAGAGTTTCGGGAACTTTCCAAACCACATTTCTCCATGTAGGGCTTATTTTGCCTCTTGTCTGTATGCCTGTTTTATGTATTTTTAAACTTCTCAGAAAAGCAAACAGTTTGCTCCCCTGGGCAATGTGGCTGCAGGTGGGGATAAATGAAGCCTGGCGTCAGTCACAACCCTAGAGCCCTCCATCACTGATTAGCAACCGCATGGCAGTTTACTGTGGTAGACTACCATCCGTGCAGCCCCTTCGACAGAACTTCATCCGGAGCAGCTTCTCATTAACATGAGGGCTGTTGTGAAAATAGCTGGATGGTTATCGATCCCCTTTATTCGTCGGCCTTGGCCGGGTTTTCATAGCCTGGGCCGAGGAGGTGAGGACGGAGTGGGTGGAGGGAGATGGGTGATTTCCATCGTTTAGAAATGGAAATGGCTTTTTTTTTTTTTTTGCGGTACGCGGGCCTCTCACTGTTGTGGCCTCTCCCGTTGCGGAGCACAGGTTCTGGACACACAGGCTCAGAGGCCATGGCTCATGGGCCCAGCCACTCCGCGGCATGTGGGTTCTTCCCGGACCGGGGCACGAACCTGTGTCCCCTGCATCGGCAGGCGGACTCTCAACCATTGCGCCACCAGGGAAGCCCCGGAAATGGCTTTTAAGCAAGTTGTTGCTGTTCCACGTTGTGCTGCAGTTGCTGCTGGGCATCTTGCTTAGAAACAGAAACATGGCAGATCTGCCCATCATCATGGCCCTCCCACCTCTACTCCCAGCTGACTGTGCAGAATACACTCTCCTGGGGCACTCCATGGCTTCAGAGTGTTTTGCAGGGAAGGAGATGAAGGGCATTAATAAAGAGTAACGTTATTAAGAGCAGCAGCCTTGTGCTGAGTCCTCAGTAACCCAGCCCCTGGGCATTGGGCTGGCGCTGAGTCTCAGGCCAATGGCCGTGTAGAGCACGCACCTGCGGAGGGCTTGGAGAGAGATGACAGAAGCCATGGCAGCCTCGGGGAAAAGGAGATGGAGCTCAAGAGCAGAAACCCAGGGCTTTCATTCCAGCTCTGCCTGCTGCTCATCTATGAGCCCAGGTCTTCTCATCTGTAGAATGGGCATCATAATACCATTCCATCTGGCAAAGTTGTAAGGATGCAGCAAATGGCTCATTGTTGGTAAAGTGTAAAGTGCTGGGCAAGTCTAAGCAGTGATTGTGTTCCAGGGGAAATACTACTGACGCTCTTAGCCTGTTGGGCGAGTTCCTCGTGGGGTGGGGTCGTGTCCCAGGCCGCTCTTGCTCTGCCTCACTGGACCCCTCTGAGTCTCAAAGACCTCCTCTTGCCTCTTAGATTCTGGACTTGTTCTTAACTTGCTACTCTGTCATTTCTGCAAGAGAAAAAATTGTTTCGTGTTGGTTTGTTTGTTTCTGTACGGAGCTCAGTTTGGTGGTAACAACGTTGAGCTTGACTTGAGCCCCAAGCTCCTGGAAACAGCAACATTTAAGAAATCCCCCCACCCTTCTGTGTTCTTGGATATGGCTTACTGCAAAGAACTCCCCTTCTCTTAAATGTGCCCCGTATTTACCTCTGGCAAGACCAGATTCCTGTTCTTTGTCTCGTAAATGATTCACTGAACTGTTTGTCCCCACTGACCAATCTGGACAAAGTGCCTGCTGATTTGACTGGACCAGACTTAAGTCTGGCTTTTCTCCTTAAGAGAATCGCTTGACCCTAAGGAAAACAATTTCCTGTTTAATTACTCCTTACCCCGCTCCCCGCAGTTCATTCTAGCCTTGCTTTACTTCTTCCAATACGAGTAATTCTCTTCTGCCTTCACTCTGAGGTGCTTGCAAATACTTTGATCAGAGTGTTCCCCCTATTCCAATAGTCTTTTCCAATCAACTCTCTCCTTACCTGAGTCTGGGTTTGTTTTTGACAGTAGAATACAGTTAATCCCACTTTGAATAATGAAAGAGAACAGGGGGAAATATGTTTTAGATAATTTATTATAATGATAATGACAGTAATGTTAACCTTTCCTTAATTTCCTTAGGAAAATTGTCCTTAATTTTTACATTTCCCCGAATACTGATTTATCCTTCCTTGCTGTGTCATGGCCTTTCTTCTTAAAGAGTTATCTGTAGTTTTAACCTGTTTTCTCATTTTCTATTCACTCTTGAACCTACTGCTAGTTGCCCTCAGCTCTCCCACATCCATCTCTCCACTGTCCCGTTAAAAATCTGCTAGCTGGGGGCTTCCCTGGTGGTGCAGTGGTTGAGAGTCCGCCTGGCGATGCAGGGGACGCGGGTTCGTGCCCCGGTCCGGGAAGATCCCACATGCCGCGGAGCGGCTGGGCCCGTGAGCCATGGCTGCTGAGCCTGCGCGTCCAGAATCTGTGCTCCGCAACGGGAGAGGTCACAACAGTGAGAGGCCCACGTACAACAACAACAACAACAGCAGCAACAAAAAAATCTGCTAGCCGTTGTAACCAGTGGCTACCTGCATGCCAAATCCAATTAGACGTCTCTACATCTTTATCTTTTGGCTTTTTTTTAAAACTCTCTGGAGTATCTGACACTGTTGGGGAAAAAAAATCCCCCCACGATACTCTTCGCTTTGGCAGTGTTTTACTCCTGGTTTCCTTTTCTGGATCCCCTTCCCTTGCCATCCCTGAAGTGGGGATGTTCCTAAATTCCCGTTGCATTCTTCATGGTTCCTGAGTGACCTCATCCCTTCTCTTCACACTGATGACTCCTATATCCACAGCCCCAGCAGATATCTCTCCATTAAACTCTGAACTATATCGTTAACTGCCTATTCGAGGTACATTCCCTTAAAGAACCCGTTTAACAACTGAGCTCAGAGTCTCTACCTTTTGGCCCTTATATCTCCTCCTTTTATTTACTTACTCCATTTATTTACTTACTTACTCCATTTATTTACTCAGTAAACTATTGTTGGATGTCTACCATGTGCTAGATACTCTGGTAAGCACTAAAAATAAAGTGACAAATAAGAGAGACATAGTGTCTGCCATCTGAGAACTCATTATAGTCTAATGAGAGAGGCAGATATCACACAAATAATTATAGAAGTGATTGTTAATTTTGATTGTAATGAATACTCTAAATAAAAAGCAGAAAATTTTGTTATTCAGGTATCTGAGATATTCAAGATGTGTCCTTCTCCCTTCTATAGATTCTACCTCCTTAATATCTCACAAGTTCATTTCATAGAGTTCTCATAGAGAATCTACTTCTTCAGTTCAGGCCCTTGTGCATTACTGCCTAGATGGTTGCGATGACCTTTTAAGCCTTCTCCCTTCCTTCTAGCATTGCCCCATTTAAAGCCACTCTTCACAATGCTTCCACATTGAATATTATCATGTAATGAACTTGATCATCTTCAACAAAATCTATGCATTAATTAACCAACTCTAATCCTCCCTTTCTCCTGCTTCAAATCTTGTGTCAGCTTTGTACTTCCTTTCAGGGTAGAACTTTGGTGTGCCGTACAGAACCCCTTATGATGTGGCCACTGTCTATCCTCACCTCCCTCAGAGGAATATTGCCTTCAGGTTATTCCAAGTTCCATACATTCCCTTGAATACTCCACCTGTCTCTCACCTGTAAGCCTTTGTTCACCGTTTTCAGTACATCTATTGTAGTCCTTAGTCAAGTTCACGAAAGGCCACCTGAGTCTGTGATGTCTCCACCACCAGATGGGCATATTCTTGAGGTCAGGTTCCACGTTTTGTTCCTGTCTGTATTTATATATGGTATTTGGCACGTAGCAAATGCTTAATAACATAGGTGTTTCTGTAATGAATGAAGTTACATTAGGCCCGAATTATAAGAAAATGTTTCAATAACACTCAAGTATTTTTACTGTTGTTCACCTAGGAAGTCATAGGTTTAGATTTTCAAAAAGCAACCATGATTCTCCCTAGTGACTGTATTGGGAGGATGTAGGGGCAGTGTTGTTTATAATTGTTTTAATAAGGAAGTGACACATGCTTTGGAGTTAAATTAGGGTAGCAAGATGAAAGAAATAAGCTTTATTGTCATTCAGATTCCTATAGGACCATTTTTAACTAATGATGCTTTTCTTTGTTCTGGAAGACTTCATATTCTCATTATTGGTTGACCCCTATTCAACTCTAAGACCTATTAGGAGACAGGGCACATAGTTCAGAGTTTTTCAAAAAGTGATTCCCTAGATTGCATGCACTAGAATCATCTGGAGGGCTTGCTGAGGTGGCAGAATCTAAGACTCCACAACCAGACATAATGAATCAGAATCTCAGGCATTGGGACCCATGAGTCTGCATGCTGTTAGGATCGCCAGGTCATTTTGATACACACCGAATATACCCCCACTGGTAAGGAGTTTAACCTCTTTATTCAGATAGTCTTAGGTTCAAATCTTAGTAATATAATTTATTAGCTAAGTGACTTTGATAAATTAAGGATTTCTCAAGTGGACATCCCGTAATTCTATATACTAGAGAGTAGTCTCTCATCCTGGAGCCTGGAATACCTGCTCACCAGGTAACATAGTCCCAGTGCAGGTCTAAACTAAGATGCACTCACAGCAAATCTGGCTGCCTCTGATGCTGACCATGCCCCAGTGTTTGAAGTTGTTTTTTCCCCCCTCACTTCTTTTACATTAGTTTAGTCTAAAATAACTTAGCTCATTCATTTTTATGACCAAAACATCTGGGGAAAGCCAGGCATTTCTGTTGCATTTTTAACAGGTAAAGTGAATTAAATCCATATTTCCTGCAGCTGCTATTTCCCCTCCTACTGGGTTCTTGGGCTTTCATTCCACCCCACACAGCATGACTTCCTCACATGTTTTTTTTTTTTTTTGCGGTACGCCGGCCTCTCACCGCTGTGGCCTCTCCCGTTGCGGAGCACAGACTCCGGACGCGCAGGCTCAGCGGCCATGGCTCATGGGCCCAGCCGCTCCACAGCATGTGGGATCCTCCCGTACCGGGGCACGAAGCCATGTCCCCTGCATCGGCAGGCGGACTCTCAACCACTGCGCCACCAGGGAAGCCCCATCACATGGTTTTTAAGAGTAAGCCTTATTTCCATTTTCAGGCACCTCAGCAGGAACCTGTAATTCTACAAGGTGTGAAAGCACAAATGAGCAAATGAGGTCTCAGTCAAGGTGACCTAGGGAGTCCAAGGCTAGAGGCTGAGATCTGACAGAGAATCTCCAATGAAAGATCCAGAGCTCACTTTCTCACTTTTGCCCCCTCCCAGCTGTCCAGATGAGTTTGCTTCTTTGTACAATTGGCATGGAGGAGCTCTGCGTGGTTCTGACATTAGAGACATTGCTGCCTCCTTTTTTGGTGAAACCATTTCTGGGAAGGGTTGTCAAATAAGGTGAAGGCTAGATCCACCCTAGTTATTTACTTACTGTCACTCCACTTGCCTGTGTCCCTATTACCAGTGCTTTTGGCCACAGTGACAAGGGTGCCTCTCTTTTTGCTTTCCTGGGATGATATTATTCTTTGGCATATACACCTGTATAGTTATACATGTTTAAAATTGCTTTTATTTAGTCCGATATCTATCCAGGCTAACATTTCTTCCTGACAGTGTAAGATCCTTAGGTAATGACTTGAGTTTGTGGTAATCTTTGTACAGTGCCTAGCCACATATGCAAACTGGCTTTTAAAACCGATTTTGAATTCTGAACTATTAGATTTAATTTTAGAAATGACCCAGTCCAGGAATACAAACTAAAGTGGCTTCAGGGACCAAGAAGTTAACAGTAATATATAAGGGCAGATCATAGATATGTAGGGCTAAGACTCCAATGAGTTCTGACTCTACCTAAAATACTACATTTTCAGGTATTTGACAGAGGTTATGGTCAAACCAAACAATTGTGATTCATATTCATTTCATGGGTCATTGGTTTGCAACTTCTGATTTAGGGGCTGTATATACAAATAGTTAGAAGCTAACAATTAGGTGAGAGTCATATCACAGAGGTTCAAAACATGGTTCGGCTACTTAACGAGTTACGTAACCTGAAGCAAGTTGGTAAACCTCTGCGTGCCTTAGTTGACTCCTCTGTAAAACAGGAATAATCATACTGCCTCCATTGTAGAATTATTGGATTTTTTAAATTGAAATAATACATTTAGATGACTTAGAATGTGCCCAGATGTTAGCTATTTTTATTGGTAGCCCAACCTCTTCACTCTTTCAGTGAGAAAATGGAAGCTCAGGGAAACTGACACATCCAATATCATACAGCTGATTTGTAGCAGAGCTTATATTATGACCCAGAACACTAAATTCTAGAGTGAGTATCCTTACCTGTATATCTGTGGTTTTCAAACATTACTGTATTAGCAGCAGAACCCCCCTCACCTTTTACTCCTAAAATATTACACAGAACTCCAGGACATAACAGATCTCAGTAGTGCTGCTCTGTTTCCAGCAGAGTTGGAAGCCCAGAGCCCCACCCATCGGCTATGCCTCTGTGCCGCCTTTCTTGCCATCCCCATCTGAAGATTCTAAAAAAAGGCGTGAAAACCGTTACCCTAAAAAGTTTGAAATCATAAATGAAGATCTAATGAAGGGATAGGACCTGTCATTTTTGCATGTGTGGGCTTCCTCTTGCAAGGTTGTATGTCTCCGTTAGCAAAGACCAACTTTCAGTTATAAAAATAAAAAATGAAAGTGGGGGCTTCCCTGGTGGTGCGGTGGTTGAGAATCTGCCTGTTAATGCAGGGGACACGGGTTTGAGCCCTGGTCTGGGAGGATCTCACATGCCGCAGAGCAACCAGGCCTGTGAGCCACAACTACTGAGCCTGTGCGTCTGGAGCCTGTGCTCCGCAACGAGAGAGGCCACGACAGTGAGAGGCCCGTGCACCGCGATGAAGAGTGGCCCCCACTTGCCACAACTAGAGAAAGCCCTCTCACAGAAACGAAGACCCAACCAACACAGCAAAAATAAATAAATTAATTAATAAACTCCTACCCCTAACATCTAAATAAATAAATGAAAGTGGATAAATCCCTTGAAGCCATGGAAAATCATACCCACCAAAGCCCCTTACACCCATCTTCCTGTCACTTAGCAAGTAATAGAAATCATGAAGCTCATAATTTATAGCCTTGGCCTGACACAGAATTGTTTAACATTGCCTATAACTCAAGCTTTTTCTCAACCGTTTCATAAGTCATGGTGATTACTCTGGGTCTCAGTGGGCAAGGAGATATGAAGATCTGCTGCCTTACAGGCCTTCCATCTTCTTATAGGACATGCACATCATTAGTACCAATGAGAACCAAGTGTTCGCAGCTGTCCAGGAATGGAACCAGAATGACACGTACAACCTCTACATCTCAGACACACGTGGGATCTACTTCACCCTGGCCATGGAGAACATCAAGAGCAGCAGAGGTCTGATGGGAAACATCATTATTGAATTGTATGAGGTATGTAGCCAAGATTTCATGAATTTTGACAGTATGAACACAAGCATTGGAGTCAGATAGTCCTGAATTCAGATCTCAGCTGTACACTTAGCAGTTGTAACTTTGGGAAAGGGACTTACCTTCTCAATTCCCTCACCTGTAAAATGGGGATAAAATATTGATCTAATGAGATTGTTGTGAGAATGAGGGATAATGTTTGTAAAGCATCTAGTGTGGTGGTTGACTTAATAAGCCTTCAACAAATGGGAGCTAAAGTCAATGTCTTACGTGTATGAGCAGAATTACAGCCCAGAAGTGAAGGTACTTGACTTCAGTGATCTCTTAAGTACTTTTTTCAAGTCTGTGCTTCTTTTTATGAGATCTGGGTGGAGGGATTAGTGCCATTTATATACCTTAAATTATTTGGAAAATCATGTTTTGTGAACAACTTTATAGGAGAGGAAAGCAAATATCACTGGTAGGAGTGAGGGTTTCCCTGAAATGCTGCCAGATGCCAACACCTGTGCATAGAGAAGAACTGGCTGTGATTTACATCTTTTTTTTTTTTTTTTTGGCCGTACGCGGGCCTCTCACTGTCGTGGCCTCTCCCGTTGCGGAGCACAGGTTCCAGACGCGCAGGCTCAGCGGCCATGGCTCACGGGCCTAGCCGCTCCGCGGCATGTGGGATCTTCCCAGACCGGGGCACGAACCCACATCCCCTGCATCGGCAGGCGGACTCTCAACCACTGCGCCACCAGGGAAGCCCACATCTTTTTTTAATATGATCACCTTTATTGAGTTTCCACTTATATTGAATTTTTTTAGTGTGACCACCAGTTAAAGAATAATTTATCTAGGAAACCAAGTGATTCCATTTAGGGACTAGATTTAAAAAAAAAAGAAACTAATTGTTTCAGTGACCCTAATGATACACTGCTTGTTTATACCTCTAGTGTGTGAGCTTTCGCAGTGAAAGAACTTGAGTGACCACTTCAACTAGATGGATTGATTTGAGCAAAGGAGGCGTGTCTCATTATCCAACATTTACTAGTGACTTGTGGTCAGACCCCACAGGCTGTGCTGGTGGAGGTCATTCATTCACAGCAGGACAGCCTGTTGTGGGCGGTAGCCTCAGATGGTATGGCTGAGCTGCTCCATCGTGAGTTTTCCTCTTCGAGGGGCGGGAGTGGCTGTCAGAGCAGAGAGATCAACACATGGCCTTCTGCTTGACAGTGGTCTCTTCTGAGCAGTGCATGTCAGAGTGCCCGCATCCCTACTCTGGTATCTAAGTTGGCTGCTCAGTTACTAAGAGTGGTGGAAACGTATAAGATTCCAGTTATTTTATTAGGTAGAAGTCATGGAGTGAATGCAGGTACATTAAAAAGAAGGAGAGAAGTGAATGTCAGGGTAGAAATACCCTGATTTTCTAGGACGTAGACAAGTGCTGAAATAATTCCCTTAGCAACAAGGTCCCAGCTTCGGAAATGACCTAGATTTCTTCCTAAAGTTGTAAAGACTAGTAGAGATGACTAGGAGTGTAAATGGCTTTGGGAAGCTTACATTTTCATGCCTCTAATCACACCAGGAGGCAGAAATATACCTTTGTTATTGGGCAGTAGATCACATCTGTGGGAAGGTTTGTATGAATGTTCCCAGGAGTGAGGCCATTCCTGTTTGCACAAGTAAGCCTGTAGAGGTAAGAGGATTATTCATGCTCCTGTGGTCAGAGCCCAGTAGGAGAGGTGGACATTGCTGCAGATGACCTTTCAGCTGAGAAATTCCTGTTTCTCTGACTCTATTGATATGGTGGGTGAGTTTGCCACTGTTCCTTTCCTAAAACAGGGTGCCTGAAACTCCTTGGTCCTTTAGAACAGTGAGACATTCTGATCTGAAGTGACGCATGAATCAAAATGAAGAATGTGCCAAGATACATATAATTTTTTTTTGTCTTTCTGAAGTCAGTCTTTTTTGGGGAAAAAAATACATGGTGTCATCGCACCTACAGAGAAGCAAGATACACTAGGCAAGGCAACTTCCCTAAAACCAATTCTGTTGACCTTGTTCTCCATTCATTTTTATCAAGGTTGATCCTGCCCCTGCATTGTGTTCCAGACTATGAGGAAAGCAGGAAAGATAAGGGTTCTTACCCTCAGGGAGCTTGCAGTCTAGTTTGTTGGGCTTTGAAGGGGTCAGTAAACAAAGTTCCTCTTTTACCTGCCGAAGAATGAAACCATTTGAGACAGAAACAAAGGGTGAGACAAAAGGAGATCAAATGTCAGCTTTATTGCTTTGAAAAGCATGTAGGAGGAAATGGTCTTGCTAATACTGCTCCCCAGAATTGAACTCATCCATCCAGTCACAGGCAGAAGTAGTGAATCAAAAGCTCTCCCATGGGACATGGGGAGAGGGAAGGGTAAGCTGGGACAAAATAAGAGAGTGGCATGGACATATATACACTACCAAATGTAAAATCGATAGCTAGTGGGAAGCGGCTGCATAGCACAGGGAGATCAGCTCGGTGCTTTGTGACCACCTAGCGGGGTGGGATAGGGAGGGTGGGAGGGAGATGCAAGAGGGAGGGGATATGGGGATATATGTATATGTATAGCTGATCCACTTCGTTATAAAAACAGAAACTAACACACCATTGTAAAGCAATTATACTCCAATAAAGATGTTTAAAAAAAAAATAAAAAGCTCTCCCATGGAAGCCTGTCTCTGTAACACCACAGCATTGTGGTGCAGAGGATGTGATCTTTGCAGGCAGATCCCCAAAATAGTTGAGTTCGCGATGTGCTGTAAAAGACCAGTTCTTTTTCTCAATGTTACCAATCCGGTTATCAGTACTTTTGCCCTGGGGAGGAAGAGGTGAAGAAGTGGAAGGCATTCCAAATGTCAAGAATGGCAGAAGCCAAGAGTTGGACAGGCAGTGTAGATTTGTAAGTCCGTGAGCTAGCCAGTCTAATTGCGTAGAATAGATGGTTGTCAGGGACAAGAATGAGTGCTGCATAAGTAGTTGGGGTTCAGATTCTAGAAGGCATTTAATACCAAGGGAATAAATTATATCCTGACACTATCTAGACCATGACCATATTGAAGGTTTTTAGAGGGTGATGCTGCTTTGCACCTGGGTGTACATTCTGTGATTTGGAGATTAAGCCCAATCTAATTGGTCTCTAGGGGTCATTAGACTTTAACCTTCTTCACTGGAGATTCTCACAGAAACTGAGATTGTGTACCATATGGCCAGTTAGCAAAGAGACTATAATTTTTGTGGACTCTGAATGCCCTTGAGTAATACAGCCGGAAGAAACAGTGAGCTTTCGTGTTCCATTCAGCTAAAGTAACACACTTTCATGAAATGTATTTTGCCTGATGAGGCTGGTACATGAGACGCAGAATCTCCTGGAAAGACGTAAGTGACTCTAGTAGGGTAGTGATCACAGTCTGACTTGTATTAATGGTGCGATTCCTGCATGTTCACTAAGAGGAAAATTAATTCTAACTTGATGAATTTGGGGAGACTTGCCGATGAGTAGGTTTAAATGATGAACTGCTAGAGCATGGGAGAAAGGCATGCCTGGTAAAGTCCAGCATCAGAAGAGAACCAGAGTCTGATGAGTAGAGGTCCATTTTCCTAGAATGTCAAATGACCCTGGAGAATAGTGGGGATAAAGGCTATGAAGATGCTAGTAAAGAGCTTGACTGAAAAGTCGGGCATTTATTCTCTGGGCTGGTATTTCTCTATGTTTTCCCTTACATCTAGCAAATGATAATTGTATGCGCGAGGTAGTGCCTATGCCAAGTTAATGTAAAGCTTTATATTACAATGTGACAGGGTGTTACCTCTGTTTGCCCTTGTCTGAAATGTCTGAGATGCCTTTAGTTAACACAGATGTGAGGTGGCTTGAGCTGACCACAACTGATTAAAGCTACTACTGTGTCATTCTGTCTTCCACATGGACCTCTCAAGCCTCTTCTTGACATTGGAAAGGGGACAAAGAAAGTGAGAATTTATTTGAGAAGTACACCTTGTAGATCTTGGCACTGATCACCTTGGAGACCAAGGGGATCAACCCCACCCAACTCCCTAAAATCTAAGGCAAGGCATTGTTCATTTCCTGGTCTGTTGGAGCAGTTTCCTGCTGAAGAGGGAGTCTGTTGTGCTCTGTCCAATCCCTTCATCAGAGTGCAGTCTTGTCATGGCTGTAATTACATAATCAGGGGAGAAAATAATTCTTGAAGGCCAAATAATGATCTCTTCTTTAAGGTAACAGAGCCATTCCATCAAAACAAGGCTGGTGTTGACAATGAATACAGTTCATTATGTGTGTTCACCATTATTCTTATGACACTCTTTTCATACAGAGCTCTGTTGTGGTTTTTTCACATCTCTAACTATAAACTGCATTTCTTCCTAGATGTTCTCCACTGGTAAATCAGGTAACAAATGTTCTTTGCAACACTTTCAGTTATATTGTAGAAACATTCTCTGAGCTGCTGCATTTTCTTCAATATTTTCCTGGATTAAGCATCCAACTTGTAACTCTGTATAATACTAACAACAGCATACCAGGTAATGCCTTAAACTGACATTGTCGAGTAAATATATAACAAGCTACACACGCATTTTAAAATCAAGAGAAAAAAGAAACAGGTGAAATTAATTGTAATATTATATTTTATTTAACCAAAATATCCAAAATACTGTCATTTAAGTATATGCTCAGTATGAAAAATTACTAATGAGATATTTTATAATTTTTGTCATACTAAGTCTACAGTATCCTGGGTATATTTTACACTTCTCAAGCATCTCAATTCATATGCTAAATTTTCACCAGAAATACTTGATCAGCATTTATATTTCATAAAATTTACAGTAGAAAAGGGAGATTCACATATCCAAGTTATTCCAAGCATACTTAAAAGTTGGCCAATAACTGGATCAGGTATCAGTTTTTTTTAAATTTCAGTTTAAATTGGTTAAAATTAAAAGTCAGTTTCTTAGTCCCACTGACCCCATTTCAAGTTCTCAGTAGTCCTGTGTGGCTAGTGGCTATGGTATTGGACAGCACAACCCTTAATGATATATATACTCTTTCTTATTTATCTATTACAATAACTCCTTGTGGGAGATACCATTCCCTATTGTGCCTATGAGAGTACAGAGATGCAGAGAGTTTGGTAACTTGGCTCAGATCACACAGCTAGTAAAGGGTGATGCTGTGTTTGAACCAACCCATGTCAATTTGACCAAAAAGCCCAGGCTCTTCCTATTATACATTTTTTTCACATACATTTTTTTTATTGAGGTATAATTTATGTACGGTAAAATTTACCCTTTTTGGTTCTATGAGTTTTGACAGAGGTATGTGCTTCTACCACCATAATCGAGATATAGAACATTGAACATATAAGGTATTGTCTCACGACATTCCCTCTTATGGCCCTTTTTTTTTTTTTTTTTGCGGTACGCGGGCCTCTCACTGTTGTGGCCTCTCCCGTTGCGGAGCACAGGCTCCGGACGCGCAGGCTCAGCGGCCATGGCTCACGGGCCCAGCTGCTCCGCGGCATGTGGGATCTTCCCAGACTGGGGCACAAGCCCGTGTCCCCTGCATCGGCAGGCGGACTCAACCACTGCGCCACCAGGGAAGCCCCTATGGCCTTTTTGTAGTCATCTTCCTCCCACCAAAAGTCACTGGCAAACCAATCTGATTTCGCTCTGTCCCTCCAGTTTTATTTTTTCTACATTTTCATATGAATGCAAAAAAGGGAGTCTTTTGAGTCTAGCTTCTTTCACATAGCACATTGAGATTCACACATGTTGTTGAATATCAAGAGATGTTCCTTTCTTTCTACTGCTGAGTAATACTGCATTGCCTGGGTGTATCCTTGTTTGTTTATTCATTCACCAGTTGAAGGTCATTCAAGGTGTTTCCAGTTCTGTGTGATCATGAATAAAATTTCTATAAACATTTATGTGAACATAAGTGTTTCTTTCTCGTGGGTAAATACATAGGAGTAGAACTGCTAGATTGAATCTCAGCGTATGTTTATAAAAAGCCAGCAAACCATTTCTTAAGTGGCAGTATCATTTTGTATCCCCGCCAGAGATGTATGCGAGTTCTAGTTGCTTCACGTCTTTAACAACAGTTGGTATTATCAGTTTTGTGTGTGTGTGTGAGTGTGTGTGCGCACACACGTGTGTTTAGACATTCTTTTAGGGTCCTAGTGGCACCTCATGAGTTTCGTTTAAATTTCCTAATGACTAATTATCACGAGCTCACTATACTTGGATGCATAAAATGAAACTCTGAGCCATCCTTAGTGTTCTGGCCTCTTTGCTCATTTATTGATGTTTTATTGCTTTCCGTGTCTCTAGTGCCTGCCCTCCACCCACTGCTTTATCATGACCTTACATTACCCTTCTTTGGACAGATGGATGGCTACTTGCTACTTATAGACCCCGTGGGGACATTTTCCCCAACTGACCTTCATCGGCCCCTCACAACAGGTCCAACTCTAGGGACAGCCCAAGGCAAACCATGGTAATTGCTTTTCTCAGCAGAGCCCTGGCTTCCTTGTCCTGAGGGCAAGGGGGTGAGCGACAGATGATTATGCCACCTGGACTCAGTGCTCTGCCAAGGGGCTGCTGTCAGTGTCCCTTTGCACCTCAAATTGATTCCCAGAGGGAAAGTGGGCCATGCAGGCCTGGGACCTTGTACTACCCTCTTCTCTGGGGACCACCTTACAAGCTGGTACCTTTCTCCTTGAACTCTTGGGGCTAACAGCAGCAGCTATGCTGCTGATTTCAAACCACAGTGGGAAGAAGCATGTTTTTAAGTTGATCAGATTCCAAATACCTCCTTGGATGGAGAAGAGTTAAAATGTGTGTTTCATTCCCCGGTTCCTTTACGTTGCATGTAGTGAAGGTAAGTAGTGTTTCATGGAACTTTTGTGTCAGATATCTATGTAGCTGTGTGTGTACACATACATGCGTATATGGGTATGAGTCTACTAGGCGCCAACAGAAATGTATTTCATACTTGGATTGTAATCGAAAAGTTTGAAAGCTATTGGCCTAAGATACAGAAAACAAAGTGCCCTCCAAGCTTATAGTCCATTTACACAAGAGATGAAGCCAAGAAGCAATTCAGCAATGACGTGAGGACTTTGAACAATCCAAATACAAGTGGGAAGTGTTTTATCTTTTTTTTTCTTTTCCCCCAGACAGGCAGACAGGACTGAGATTGCTTTGGCATTAGGTGCAACTGCAGGAGAAACACCTTCAGAGGTGCAGATGGGTTCCTTCAGAATCTCTCCTTCTATATATTTTCAGTCTCCATTCTCCTGATTTTGCTCTCAGACTATGTGAGGCACACAGAAAATAGCCGTCTGAGTGGTGGAGTTCTTAGTGGGAATATGGTCATATAATATTGGCATATTATATTTTCCAAACGCGCTCATCCAGAGAACACGAGAAGCAGCTAAGTGGCTAGTAATTCACGCTAGAATGTATCGAGCTAGGAGGCAGGGGATGATGGTGACAGACAGAAGTCTGATTCTGACCTGTATATGTTCTAGAAGTTCGATATCAAGGCCCTGGGGGCAGGCGGCTGGCTTAGGGGGAAGAGTTCTGTGGAATCATTATCTGGTGCTCCATCAGATAAGACACCAGCTCTGTGTCTGAAGAGAATAGCAAAGGGCCCCCATCAGGCAGGAGGTTCTAAGGAAACACAGATTCCATTTTCTGTGAGGAATTATTGGTAATTGGTTGGAGAGAAACAACTTTGCAGTTGGTTTTAAAGGCCGAGGTGATCTGAGGGCCTCACAGCCCTTGGCTCAGTGTGTAAGGTGCCGGCCTTCCTGAAATGGCTCTGACTTTAAGCAGCAGGGAGGGTACCTCCGGGGAAGGGCATAACTCTGACAACGCTGCCCCTCTCCCCACCTTGGCTTCTGTCCTTACCCACCCTCTGTTCACATTAGGAAGCTAATCAGTTCCATCACTGGCCTTTTGTCAAATTCCCCTGGTGGTGTCCTTCCCAGATAACACTGCTCTCCTCCTGACATCCTCTGTCCATTTTTGTAGTTCTTTGTTGTTTTGTATTTGGGTTGGCATTCTCTATTCTCTTTCAAGGCCAGTCAGGTTACTTAAAAAAAAAGAAAAGCACTTCTCATTTCATCAGGTAAATTATGTCATTAAAAGAACTCACTTCTGTGAAATTCCTTCCTTTTGTTCCCACTGGCATCCTCTCAGAACTGCAGTAAACCTCAATTCATGATGACCCTCAAATAATGGGGATAAGTACAGTTAAAATTTTGAGATATCTGAGTGTAATCCAGAAAACCTGCCATTCTACCTCTTATTTATATATATTTAAACAATTTGAATTACGTTTCCTTTGGAAAATCCTGGCACTTGAACCAGAAGTCAAAGGAATGTCTCCTTGACATAGATTGCTGTCATTCTAAATATCTCTTCTGATTGCCCAGATGTAGGCATAGAAGAAATAAAAGTGAGTCAGATCTGTACTTACTCTCGAACGCTTCTGGATCATAAATGTCCTCATTCTCTGGCTACTTGGTTTGTGGTGATACTCTTCTTCCTTCAGAATATCAAGGGCGTGCAAATCCCAATACATCGGAACTCTCGCAAGAGCGCTCTCCATTATCTGTTGTGTCCTTTGCCAGCTGACTGAGGACAGAAAGGAAGGGAAGGGCTCTTTCAAAATGACCATTGGCTGAGACCCAAGATAATATGGGAATTATCCAAAGTCACCCAGTGAGCTGGTGGCACAGCCAGTGACAGGGGCCAGGTCGCCAAGCTGGGTCACCTGCCCCCAAATATCCACCTCACTATTAATCAGGAAACCTGGACTTCTCCCGTTACAGATTATACCTTGATGCCTTGAAAACCTGTCGACAAGCCCCTCCTGAGCAAAATCCCATGTTCTCTGTTTTTATTTATTTATTTTAAATTTTTATTGAAGTATAGTTGATTTACAATGTTTTAAGTGTACAGTGAAGTGATGCAGTTATACATATATATGTATGTCTATATACATATATATATTCTTTTTCAGATTCTTTTCCATTATAGGTTATTACAAGATACTGACTATAGTTCCCTGTGCTCCACAGCAGGTCTTTGTTGTTTATCTATTCTATATATAGTAGCCTGTATCTGTTAATCCCAAATGTTCTCTAGAAGGAGTAACTCCTTCAGTTGTTATCAACCACTCCCACCCCAGAGGGAATGTTGATAGTTAATTAAGGATAAAGCCCTCTGAACAAAGTGCAGAGACCTGCAGAGTAGGGCAAAGCAGATGAATAATAGGGAAGTGGGACATCTGGTTTGTGGGGGTGGAGGGAGCAGAGATGAACTTAAACTTCTTTTGGAGACCACGTGGCACGTGACATTTCTCACCATGTTCCTCCTCTTTTCCTCTGTTGTACCCCCACACGCTGTGGAAAATGCTGGGGCTTCTCCCAGGGCCTCTCCAAAACTATAGGCATTTTGGCCCAACATTGTTCTCCATCTCTCGCCCTTTTTCCTAGGTAGCAGGTATCAAAGGGATATTCCTGGCAAACAAGAAGGTGGATGACCAAGTGAAGACCTACATCACTTACAACAAGGGCAGGGATTGGCGCCTCCTGCAAGCTCCAGACGTGGACCTGAGAGGAAGCCCAGTACACTGCCTGCTGGTCAGTCCCCCGGTCTCATGTGAGACCACAGGGCAGGCTGGTTACCTGGGGATGCTCCAACGGGGGCTTTCTTCCATCAAGGAGGGCTTAGGATCTTTTCTGGTGCTGAGCAGGGATGGCCTACAGGTCCCAGGGCACTGACCTGTGGACTCAGACTGCCATATCACTTGGATGGCAAGTTCAGTTGAATTCCACAAACCTTTACTGAGAATATACTATGTGCTCCAACTCCTAGGAAGATAAAGAAACATCTTTATCTTTCTTATCTAAAGAAAGAGCCTGTGCCCAAGGGTCCCAGACAGAGCTCAGCAGTGGTAAATACCTATTAGCTGATGCTGGTACAGTGCTTGATGATAAGTGCCTGATGGTGGGCAAGGTAAGCAACATTTGCCTTGGAAGCCCAAGGAATGTCAGGCTGGTATGTCCACACGGGACAGAGTTAATCTCTCAGCATTCCCAGGGTTCCAGCTGTATGGAATATTGGGGTAGGCACCATGGAGGTGCAACTCCATGTGAGGAGGGAAGACAGATAATTAACAGTGAAATTCACAACTCTCAGTGCCCTCACAAAGAGGACCTATTTGAGAAAGTTTTCTAAGGTCCCAGAAATGGTTATGTTTCCCCTTCGCAAAAAAAGTTGCCTTTTGCAACTTACTGAACATTCTAGACATTATGTTAAAAACTGGGAATATAGTGGTAAATAGGATTAACAGGGCCTTTCCCGTTTTGTAGTTTTCAGTCCAGCTCCATGCTTCTGATTTGGTGTACTAGGAAGGTCAGAGACAGGTGCCTGCCTGTATGCAAGAACTGGTCGCAGCAAGAATTTTCTTTCCCCAAACCTTACCCATGGATTCATCTTATTACCTAATTTTCTCCTTTCCCCAATTTCACAGTTCGTTTATTTTTATTTATTATATGGTGTCTATAAATCCCTAATCCTTTTCAAGAAACTCAAAAAGGGATAAATAAGTAACTGAAGAAAGAACACAAACTTATGAGTTTCAAATAATGGCTTCAAACATTTTAAGTAAAATTCAAAGTAAAATTATAAACAGGAACCAAATACGTAAAGCAGAAACAGGGACCATCTGGTTGAAGAAGAGGGTAGAGGGCCTGAGACTGTCTCACTTACTTCCCCACTTCACTGCTCCCAGTGGCCCGTTAGGGCTCCAAGAAGCAGAGCACGATGGCCAAGGCCAGTGATGGGAGAAGATCAGTGTCATCCTGTGGGAAGGAATGGTCTGGGAGGCTTCATAAGGCTGACCATGAACTGGACCTTGATGGATGGGTAGGGGTGAGGAAGAGAGGGGAAGCCTACAATTGTGACAGCAACAGGGACAGGATGGGGCCTATGAATGGTGCTCAGGGCAGCTTCTGATGTGAACATATCAGCTGCTCAGGGAGAGATGACCTGTGCCCCAAACTAAGTGAGTGGCTCACATCCAATCCTTGGTGTTTCTGGAAGCTGAACACCTGGGAGCCCCATATCTGGTGGGGCAGGGGTGCATGTCAGGAGCTTCCTGGAATGAAGCCACTTTCTCCTCCTCTATTTTAGCCCTTCTGCTCCCTGCATCTACACTTGCAGATCTCTGAAAATCCATATTCCTCAGGGAGAATCTCCAGCAAGGAGACGGCTCCAGGGCTCGTGGTGGCCACAGGTAAGGAAGACATTCCCTGGGCTTCTTCCTCACTGAGGGCTTCTGGAATATGTTACGACCTCTGTGGAATCATTTGAGCATCAGCTAAAAGCTATGGGCACTCTTCCCAGAAAACAGGCAAGATCTGTGGGACTCCAAGGCCAATCTAATCACCCAGTAAAAGAGCTCCAGACACTTGCAACTTTTGGTAAATGCAACATCTCACATGGTCACAGGGCAGTACCCTGTGCTTAGCAAGAGGCCAGGGTTCCTCTCCAAGTAAACTGATAGATCAGAAAGGTTGTTTGTAATAGGGAATTCTCACTTTAAGAAAACGTGATACATGAACTTCCTAGCTCACCAAGTATGAGTTGGGGTAGTTTTCTTTTTGCACAGAGGATTCTTTACAAAGGGTTTCACCCCAGGGCTGTTTTTAATCAGGAGGTCTCTGGTGCATGTAAAGGTTTGTTTACACATGAGTAACCCGCTTGGCTGACAGCCTGGGGGAAAGGGCAGAAAAACTCCAATTTGTATTGTTGGAAGCACTGTCCACTGAACGTCTATCAGAAATGAAGATAAAACAACTCGGAGATGAACATGGAAGTCTCTGGGGGAAAGTGCTCTGCTTAGCATGCATTTGATTTCCACATACCTTTGCAGGAATAGTTGATGGCATAAAGCAAGGCAGGCCTCTAATCTTCGAAGTTAGAGCTCTGCTATGAGGCAGCTCTTTTTCTAATGAAAGCAGATAAATTCACAGCAACTTGCTGAGATGGTTTAGTCTGTTTTCTCTCATCGACCTGAAGCTCCAGCCGCTGGCGTTACTGCTCTCGTAGACGTGACTTTCTTCTCCAAGCCTCCAGCTGTATGAACTTTTTAGCACCACCAGTGACCATCCACTCGAATCAGGTTGGCAGCTGGCATAGCCTTCTGACACCTCAGACTACTCCCCTCCGCCCGGTAGGAACTGGAGCCACCCTATTTAACGCCACTGGCTTCAGGGAGCCCAGGACAGTGAGAGGTGAGGGCAGGCTCTATTGGTGTTCTCCTGGCTGGGGGGAGTGAACCCCACACACCATCATCCATGCTGATTGGACCTCCCAGCTCTGGGACTGCTGTGCTCTCTGCCTCTCCTCAAGGCCTATAGGAGACTCTGGACTGGAGTGGAAGGAACGCTGAAAAACAGTAATCAGTTATAAACTATAAATGCTAACTGTATAGTCAGGCATGGTTCTATGTGCCTTAACCACTCTGAACGTTGGTGTTTTCATTGCCAAAGTGGGAATAATAATACCAACATAATGGAATTGGAGTATTAAATGAAGCAGTGGATTTCAAGTGTTCAGAACAGTGCCTAGGACGTATCGAATACTCAGTACATGTCACCTATTACCATTGTTAATGTTATAGAAATTGAGAACTGCTCTTCTTACACCAGGAGAATATGGTTTGCACATCTCCTTCAAGAGAATCCATAAATAATATGCGTTCACTCTGCATTCACGGAATGAATGAACGCACTCAGGACCCCTGTAGTCCTGCTTGCCAAGCTGACCTCTGACACTTACGAGCCTTATGCATTTGGCTTAGTTCCTTAACCTCAGAGCTTCATTTTCCTCATCTGCAAATGAAGTTGTTTTTGGTTTTTTTGTTCCCTGCTTTGTGAGTGTGTTGTAAGAATTAGAGAGAATTAGAGATGGAAGATCCCGCTGAGGGCTCAGAGCATAGTCAGGTAGGTTAGTTGTGGTTGTTACTACCTGAGGCCATCACGTGCCTCGAAATTACTCTAGTGCTAAGTCTTTGTAAGCTAACAGACACATAGACATTAAGGATTGGATTCTGAAACTTTCTTGTCCATATACATGAGAATTTACTAGTTCCTTTTCTCTCCCTTTGTCACTCTTGTAACTGGAAGGCTGTTCGCTATCGGGAGAATAATTATGAAGTTATCCTAGGATGGCTTCATTGGCCTGAATGGAGCCTGTCTCTCCAGGATCCTTTTCCATGCATTTCACCTGCCTTCAGGTGTCAGCGATCCTGGCCTCTCTCCTCTCCGCTCCTCACTGCGTCCTCCCACCTCTCACTGAGATGAGGGCTCCCGGAAGCTGTGGGGATGACAGGACATCCCCTGTGCTGTCCCTGTTTGAGGCTCCTGGTGAGGCCACATCTCACGAGGCAGATGGAATTCCAGTCTGGAGAGTCTGCCAATTGCTTTTAGCCATGAGAAGCGCTAGGGTCGGGCTTCCCTGGTGGCGCAGTGGTTGAGAGGCCGCCTGCCGATGCAGGGGACGTGGGTTCGTGCTCCGGGCCGGGAAGATCCCACATGCCGCAGAGCGGCTGGGCCTGTGAGCCATGGCCGCTGAGCCTGCGCGTCCGGAGCCTGTGCTCCGCAACGGGAGAGGCCACAGCAGTGAGAGGCCCGCGTACCGCAAAAAAAAAAAAAAAAAAAGCAGCGCTAGGGTTCTTACTATCCTTACCACTGTGGTTTCAAGCTAGTCGTCGAGGCCTCACATCCTCCCAGGGCCTTAAGGTGTGCAAAGCACTTTCCTAGCCTTGATCGCACAACGGCCCTATGATGTGGAAAAGGCGATTACTCTTGTCCTCGATTTACACCTGAAGGATGGAGGGCAGGGGGCAGGTGTTGTGCCCTCACTCACACTCCCTCTGGCTCCAAGTCTAGTCTGTCCAGTAGCCATTCAGCCAGACCTAGCCCTGAGTCTCTTCACATGCCCGCTCCACAGCTACCCCAGGCTCCCTGCCGTGCTTCCTGTACATTCTGAATGCTCGTACCCTTGTGCTGTCCCCTCCATGGAGATGCTTCCCTTTCCTGCAGTGGCTTGCGCACTGTCTGCTTCCCCCTGCACTTACACCCTCAGTGGGCATCAGTGGTGGTGAGAGAAGCATCTCTAACCCCAGAGGATGTTAAAAGTTTCTCTCTGTCTCTCTCTCTCTCTCTCTCTCGGTCTCTCTCTCTTAGTCTGTCTCTCTCTTTCTTTCTTTCCTTTACACATGTCTAACTAAGGAGCAGAGAAAGGTAGCCCTGGGAGGATATAGGGCTTAAAAGTGTGTTGTTTGCACATGCCCAAAAGGGCAGTGGCACCTCTGTGATTTCCAAGCTAAGGTGTTGCTGAGAGGAGCTCCCCGTTTTCCATCCCTCTCCCCATTTCTCCCTCCTATCACATCACTTCACACCAGCTACCTCTCCCTCCAATCTGGCTAGAGGCCACCTTGGGAAGCCCCGCTACAGTTCTGCTTTAGCCAGTGAGGCACATTATTCAGATCTTTCTTCTCTGACGCCATAACCCTGACTCTCCCTATCAGAGATTTCCTCCCCACAGGTCCACTTAGGGACTGAACATGTTCAAAGATCGAATCATCCTGGACCCCTCTCCTCTGTCCTTTCCTCTGGGAACTTTCTAGTTCCTGTGGTCAGCAGCATTTGTTTCAGGGGTCCTTTCAATTGACCCAAGATACTTCCAAAACAGTCTTCACTGGGAGCCTTGGATTCTCACCACCACCACACCTCCAAAATCAATCTGGGTCAAGCTTTGAAAGAGAGGCTTAAGATGTAGGCAGAACCGGCTCCTGAAGAGGGCAAGAGGTGATGAGACAGAGCCTGAGAAGCCATGACAGGGCTGGCAGATTCCAGCTCTAGGGGGACTTTATACCCGCTTCCCCCTCTCTCTGCCACCCTTGGTAGACGTTACTAATAGATCACCGAACTCTATTCTGTTGAAACCAAATATGGCTTCAGGATCCTTCTTAGCACAATGTCCCAGGCAGCCATCATTAAAAGACTCAAGTTGACATTTTCTGCCCCGTCCCTCTTTTCTTTCTTCATCTGTGTCTTCTAAAACCTGGATCTGAAGAGTGGAATTCCAAATTCCAGACACATCTGAGAGCTGCTCACCGTGCCTGTCCCCACCCCACTGATACTGACTGCCTGAGCCCTGAGCCCCAGGGGTATTTTTGGAAGCCTGAGTGTCAAAACAAGTTGGCTAGCGGTGTGCTCCCTGATGCCGATGGGAGCTTGACAAGCTGTAGCCTCCCTTGAAATTCTCATCTTGAAGCATTAAATGTCAGCAGCTCCATTAACATTTTCATTATTGCATTTTTATTGTGCTCTTATTTAGGCTACTGATGTGAAGGGAGCTAACATTCCCTTCATGCTATTTTTAAAGAAAACATATCAGCCTCAGTGGTAAATTCTTACATGTTTAGGGTACTTTTCCTGCTTCTTAAGACCCCCCCAAATGCACATCAACATCAGAACATGATTCATTCACTTTTTTACTCATTCATTTGTTGCACAGTTACTTATCGAGCAACTCACTTCTAAGTTTGGGGCACTGTTCTGGGCTCAGGGGCTGTGTGGGCAAACTTGGGCAATACAGATAGACTAGGAGATCTTAACCACTTTCTTTTTTTTTTTGCGGTACGCGGGCCTCTCACTGTCGTGGCCTCTCCCGTTGCGGAGCACAGGCTCCGGACGCGCAGGCTTAGCGGCCATGGCTCACGGGCCCAGCCGCTCCGCGGCATGTGGGATCTTCCCGGCCCGGGGCACGAACCCGCATCCCCTGCATCGGCAGGCAGACTCTCAACCACTGCGCCACCAGGGAAGCCCGACCACTTTCTTGTTTTTAATAAACATAACCACAAGGTGATGAAGTATTAATACAAGGAGAAGAAAAAGAAGGGGAGAGAAAGAAACGGTGTGAAGGGATAAAGTGTAGTCAGGCTGGGCCTAAACCAGGTGACTTCTCCTGCCATGCTGGATGGCCATGGTCTGCTGAATATTGTCATATTCTTTTGGGCGCTGGATAATTTTCGTTACATAGTCTATACTAATGGATTACTCAACTGTCTATACTAATGGATTACTCAACTGCCTGGCACTCAAGAAACATATTGGCAAGTTTACTTGGAAACACACACACACACACACACACACACACACTCACACACTCACACACACACCAGTTTTTCACAGGCTAAAGTTATACATGAGGAGGAAGTTGTTCCTAGAGGCAGCATGATAGTTGACTCTTCTCTTTGCCACCATCAAGATTAATTTTCAAGAGATTAATGGTATGAATGAGTAGTTCAAGAGGTCCGAGCTTATCCATATTTGGTCTTTGAGTGTTACCATTTAAAGATGCATCCCTGTCATATTATTTATTTATTCATTTTTTTTCCCGTGTTAGGTTATCTTCCTGCTGGGTTTTTGATATGGCATCAAAGACAGACTGTACGAATCTATTCTAAAAATAACTTGGAAAATCTTTACTCTCTGCTACCCCTTCACCCAAGCCCAAGCGCACGTCATCTGTAAACCGCCTGACAATTTCAAATGATCTGCTTCTGTTTCAGGCAACATTGGCGCAGAGCTCTCATATACTGATATCAACGTGTTCATCTCTTCCGATGGGGGCAACACGTGGAGACAGGTAACTGGGAGATTCGGGGGCAGGGAGGAGCCATTTAGGGCAAGTTCTGCCAACATCTTTCTTATAGATTCTCAGGCTTGTTATGACTTTTTGGGTGCAAAAAAACTGAAGCAGCTCTTCTATTTGGTCAATGTAGCTGGCAGATTAGATGGGCAATGGGAAGAGCTGGGCAGGGCATAAGAAAAACTGGGATTTTCCCAATTTGTTCATTCTTTCATTCAGCAACATGTATGGGACAGACCAGATGCGAATTACCGTGCCGGTGTGAGTAGATGCAGCCAATAAAACAGTTTCTATCGTTAATGTGCCACGGGGTCTTGGCAAGTAGGTGTCTTTACGTTTCTGGGTCTGTTTCTTTATCTACAAGAGGAAGGCGGTGGAATGCTAAGACCAGCAAAGCCGTGGAAGTCTGTGATGGCTTCAGTATTACGTAGGCCCATGTTTTATTAAGTATGAGGCAGCTTAATAGTTACATGACCTCATGAAAAATTAATTCAGTTTTACAAACTTCTTCTTGCAGCACTGTCCAATAGAGCTTTGAACAGTGATGGAAATGTTCTGCATCTATACCGTCCCATGTGGCTAGTGAACACTTGCAGTGTGGCTAGTGTGACAGAGGAACCGAATGTTTTATTTTAATCAATTTAAATTTAAATTGTCTCATGTGGCTACTAGATTGGACAACACAGATTTATACAATGTCAACTGGGTGTCAGGTATAGACCTGAGGAGGCAGTTGAATACTTTGCAGTCCCTTTCCTCGTGGAGCTCAGAATTAAGCAGAGGAGACAGGTTCATAAATAACTAACTGTAGTTTAGAGCGGTTGCGTTATTTTAGTGGCATTATTTGCTTGCGGAGAAGAAGGAGGGATTGATTCTCCTTGGGGGAACTGGGAAAGCCTTCACAAGAAGAGGTGACATTTTACTAAGTCTTAAAGGTGAGAAGGTTTCTATCTGAGGAAGACGAAGAGCACTAAACGTCTTCGTGATGAAGGTGAAGCCACCATCTGAAATCTACTTGCACAAGCTTCTGTTTGGGTCCCTTAGTGAAGATTATCATCTCCATCACCAACATTATCATCGCCACCCCCATTGCCACCACTGTCACTACTACCACCCTCAAAAAATAAATTACCCAGGACCTACTAGACACAAGTCCTGTATTAACTACTGTAAGGCCTGCAACAAAGAATAAGTTAAGATTCCTGCCCACAAGGGGATCAGGTAGATGAGGAACAGACATATAAAATAAGAACATACCTTAAAAATATAAGATACTCTCTTACAAGTGCCGAATGGGGTAGCAACTGGAATGTAAACTCTTCTGGTCTAGCAGCTCCCAACAGACAAACCATTGTCCCTCCAACACAAGAAATAGCTCACCTGGCCAGGTGGCCACGGTTACATTCTTTCCTTATGTTGTCACCAGTTTGGTTTTCTTTTCTCTTTTCCCAAACAACTTAGGATTCCAGCTTCCACTACATTGCTGGACAGGGCAAGAGTTAGCCGTGGCCAGAATGATACAACAGAGAGGAAAGTGTGAAGAAAATAACTTCTCTCTCCTCCTCAGTGCCAAGAATCTTCCTGTAGTCCTTACCCTCAGACTTCAGTCCAGTGTTTCTGTTACGTGGCTTTGAGCTCTGGAGAGAAAAACTAGCATTACGGGCTCAGAGTCTGTGTTTATATCTGACATATAAATGAATATCCCTTAAGTCTTTCGTGCATTAAGGCTCACCATTAGTGTGGGCATTTAAAGGCAAATATGAGAAATAAAACCAATTGAAAGGTTTAGGCCTGAGAGTCCATTTACTTTCCTCTGTGGTGTTCCCTAGGACATGTTTATAGGAGACACCACTCCTATTCTCTCCCTTTTAAGTCTACTTATACTCTCTTACCCCTTCTAGTACTTCTCACTTAACCCACCACCCCAACCTCTCCATCCAGGCTGTAAGAGCCACCATTAGTGGTTAAGAGCTAGAGGAGGTCTCCAGTTCCACTTTCATCTAGATGATCTAGAGGAGAGAACTGGTTCTCCGGTGGAGAAGTATTCTTTCTGTCTTAGGTTGGAGACTTAAAAGTCATAAACTGTAGAAGTGTTGCTATATGTGGGGTTAGGTCTAAACTAAGGCTCTGAGACTTGCATCATGGCAGGTGCCTAGTAAATGCCTGTGTAGATGGATGGATGGATCACTGAATGAGTGAATGAGTGAGTGGATGGGTGAATAGGTAATGGACAAATAAACCAAAGAATCAGTAACTCTGGGTCCAAGGAAGCATGGTGTCCTAGTGAGCATTTAGAGTGAGGATGCCCTAGCACTAAACTTAAGTCTTTCTCCAACTTGCATGGGAACTTAGGAGGTGGTGGCGAAGTCTGAGAACTCAGTCATCACGTCGATCATAATGTCTCCAGGTCTAAAAGGAATTGTCCTTTAAGTTCATAGATAATTTATAAACATTATAAATGTTTATAAGACACCATTTATAAATTAGCAAACGTCTCATTTGAAAAGATGAGAAAGACACAGGCCATTTATAAATTAGCAAACGTCTCATTTGAAAAGATGAGAAAGAGAAAGCTGAGTAGCCAGTTACTCAGATGAAAAGAGGAGAAGTTTCTGAAGTCATATTTTCCATTGAGTTATCTAGTTGAGCATGCGTCTTGTTGCCTGAACCTCTGGTGGCACACTGGCTCACAGTACTGGGGAAAGAGCCCTGGAAATGCCACTTGAGTAGCCGAGGGACAATTGTTTGTTCTCTACAAGCCCATTTCCTCATCTATTAAATGGGGATGACATTACTTGCCAAACTTCCTGATAGGGTTGTTGGCAGGGGCGGAATCTAGATGAAACAATATATGTGAAAAACTTTGTAAACTGTCAAGCACTATGCAAATGTAAGACGTTGCTATGATTGTTATTGTTGTTGTTGTTCCAGATCTTTGATGAAGAGTACAATGTCTGGTTCCTAGACTGGGGTGGCGTCCTCGTGGCCATGAAACACACACCTCTGCCAGTCAGGCATTTGTGGTAAGGACAGCTCCCTACCCTATTAATGAGCAACGTTTTAGTGGAAAAGGTTGGGACAAGTTATTCTGCATGATTTTCTACCCATTGTACCCATTTCTTCATCCATTTCTTTATCCATCCATCCATTTGATGTACATTACATCATCCAACTCTTTGGTAACAGTAGCAGACCAGATGATTTAGATGGGGAAGTATAATGAATACAGTGGGGTGGTAGGAATGGGTGCTCAGATGAGCCAGAAATGATCAGGAAGGGCCTTCAAGTTCAAGCAGTCAAGATTAACAGTCCAAAATACAGGAGCTGGACATTGCTGTAAGAAGAGGGTTAGGTGCATGTAGCAATACTAAGTTCAGTTCTAGACCAGTTGAAGTTGAGATATCTAGGAACATTCAAGCAGAGATGAAGATCAGTTGTCAGATACATTCGTCTGAAGGTCAGGAGAGAGGTCTGGGATGACACTTTAGATTTGGAGTCACTAGCCGTTAGGTGGTAGTTAAAGCCATGTCAGTAGGCTGCACGCCTCATGAAAGTGGGTACAAAAAGGAGAAAACAGGGACTCCTGTGGAATACTGTTGAATACCAGCATGCAGAGCAGAGGAAGAAATTATAGGAGAGGCTAAGGAGAAATAGCCAAAAAAGATAAAAACACAGGAGAAATGTTTTCATGGATGCTGAAGGAAGGGGTGATCAATAGCACCAAATTCTATAATCAGAATAGATTTTACGGAGTGAAAAACAATCTAGAATTAAGCAATGTAAGAGGTCATTGGTGATCTTTGTTAGGGTAGATTCACAAGAGAGGTGGGGTTGAAAGGTAGAGTGCAGTATATGAATGAGTAGATGAATGAATGACAAAGAATGAAGTAAAGTAGAGACAATGTAGATAATCCTTCCCAAGAAAGTAGATTATGGAATGCAGTTGAGTGTATGTATGTAAGACCCTCCAGGGAAGACAAAGAGTTGAGTGAGAATATATTATGATGATGATGATGTTTTTGTTTTTGGCAGAGGATGGATAAGTATCGTGTATGTTTATATCCTGAAGGGAAAGAATTTCAGCCTTCAAATTCAGCAGAATGAACATTTGAAAGAGTGAATGTTTGGTAGTAGAGGGAATGCTATCTAGAATACAGTTGTTGGGATTCACCATGGGCTGGAAGATGGATGCTGGCATAACTCGCAGGCCCTTGATTTTGGGAGACTAACCCTTTCAGAGTAAGAGTTTTACTTAGAAGTATCAGTTTGTAATCAGGAAAAGAAAAAATCAGCTTAGGATCCCCAGGTACCAAATTCAAGCTTCAGCCACCTTGGCAAGGATTTAAAGTTTCTCTTAGTTTGGCCAATTATTAAGTTAAAGCCCTTTGTAGAAAAAAAACAAAACACACACACACAAACAGTGCCCTGCCAACTCAAGCATGAGCTTGAAGAAGTTCCTAATGTAATTGTTTATCATCCTTTTACTACTGCTTTTATAATTTTTGGGTAGTATCAGAAGAGTGGAATTACTTGATAGTAATGATAGTCAGCATTTACTCAGGGATTATTAAATTCCAGGCACTGTTCTAGGCCCTTTCCATGAATTACCTAAGTTCCTTCTTGAAACCACCCTATGCATTTTCCTGTGGGTACTCTTTTTATCGTAGCATTAAAATGCAGACATGCCAAATACTTTGCTCAGAGCTACACAGCTAGTACCTTGCAGCACCAAGTTGGGTTTCTATCATGGATGCTCGTCTCTTTTACCTGCCAATTTTCCAGATACTTTAATGAGTACACGGAGGCTTATCACATGGTCTCTGTCCTCTGGGAGATCATAGTCAAGATAAGGAACTTAGACAGTCCAAGCAGTGTCTACGAAAGGATGCTGACTGTGTGCATTGCTGGAATCCTGAGGCCGGATAGAGCCCCCCACCCCCACCCCGCGGGTGTGTGAGGGGGTCTTTGTGCAGCAGGTGATGTGAGGGCTGATCCTTGATAAAAGGATTCCAGGAGTAGGAGAAGTGATGGGAGGAAAGCCAAGGGAAGGGAAAACTCTGACGAAGCCTGGAATTCAGGAGATGTAGGGAGTACTCAGAAGACTGTGTGTGGTTGGAATCAAGCATGTGAGTAATGGTGGGTAGGCCTCAGAAGAACTTAAACGCCAGTTTAAGGGCTTCAGGTTGAATCTGTAGATAATTCCTTTTTTTTTTTTTTTTTTACATCTTTATTGGAGTATAATTGCTTTACAATGGTGTGTTAGTTTCTGCTTTATAACAAAGTGCATCAGTTATACATATACATATGTTCCCATATCTCTTCCCTCTTGCGTCTCCCTCCCTCCCACCCTCCCTTTATGTAGGTAATTCCTTCTACTACCGAGACCTCTCTCTCTGTGGTGAGAAGAGTTCTCTCTATTGAGGACTGAGTAGGACTTATACACTCAGGGAGGGCAGCTTGACTCTTAAGACAAGTTTGTTGTTTTTTAACCAAGAAAAGTAACATTCCTTAGTCGTTATCATTGTGTTCTAAGCACCTCTATCTAAATCTCAATGGCATAATTGATAAATGCCCTGCAGACAGATACAGCTGGCAGATTTCCTCCCCTTAAGTCCTGGGAGAAGAGGGTGGCAATCCCATCTTACCCTTGACTGTCACCCTCCTGCTCTCTCTCCTTCATGTGGTAGGGACTTAGCGCTCACTTCGTGGTTGAATTTTAGAGACTTTTACACAAAAGTTGCCTTGTCCTAAGGAAAACAGGAGTTTGCTATTGTTGTTATTTCTTTTTGGTGACAGGAGAGGAGAGTACATTTGGCATGGAGCAGAGGAATAGAGAAAGTTTTGGCTTTGGCGAATCTTAGCATCCTTACATCTTGAGCATTCAGTCTGTTCTGCAGTGGTTTCTCTCCAGAGGCCTGATCACTTCTAGAAGGAGTACTTGTCTAGTCTGGAGGGAAACCATCCAAGTTGGGAAAATCAGTATTCACTCAGAGATATGTAAGTAGGATCAAATCCTGCCTTTCAAAGGCATTAATACAAAGTTTGAGTTTCCCCTTATTCCATGAAATATCTCTTTTGTTGGTAAAAAATATTTATTGAGCTCAGAAAAAGAGCTGCCTCCCATTGAATTTCCTCTTATAATAGTCATGCTAATACTACCCTCCATTTGTTCACCTACTTCAAGTTACAAAGGATTCGAGATGATTTTTCAAACTAAGCTTTGGAAATAGAATTTTCTCCATTTAAAGGATGTTGATGCTGTCATTTCTCATAAACGCTACAAATGCTTCCCTGAACTTAGATACCCCCCATGACTTCTGCTTACTTGCCTGTCTCTGAATGCCCTTCTCCAAAATAGTCCCTGTGACCGTTACGTGCCAGCTACTGAGTGTGTGTGCTAGCAAACAACAGTGGCACTTAACTCATTCAGGAATTCTTATTTTTTTAAATTTTATTATTTTTTAAACATCTTTATTGGAATATAATTGCTTTACATTGTTGTGTTAGTTGCTGCTGTATAACAGAGTGGATCAGCTATACGTATACATATATCCCCATATCCCCTCCGTCTTGCATCTCCCTCCCACCCTCCCTATCCCACCCCTCTAGGTGGTCACAAAGCACCGAGCTGATCTCCCTGTGCATTTTGTGCTCATCTTTCGAGGCTAAGTAAGTGTTCTGTAGGGGCCTGACCTTATCATGATCATCAATGTTTCCTTATAAACTTCTTGACTAATTTTGTCTCTGGCTGGCTTATGAATTGCAAGCTTGTGAAACTCAAATGCAGTTTCTTCATCACCAGTAGCTTCTAATTAAGTTACAACCCTCAGGGTAAACACAGAGCTCATTTGAAGTGGAAGAAAGGTTAAGTGATCAGTTCATTGTTCCTTTCTGTAGTAGGTCTCAGACTCACCAACGTTATTTTGGCAGCATATACAAATGTATATATATTTGCATAGGAAAGAGATACTGGCCTACCCACTCTCCCCCAAGGGTATAGTGGCTCTCAAATTTAAATAATAGCTACATCGCCTTTCAGAGAAAATGAGAATCATAATTGAAAAGCTGGGGAAACGTTAGCTAGGCTAACAAGGCATGCTGTTTCCTATAAATTGAAGTGATAGGTAGCTAGATATGCATGAAGACAAAACAGCATACAAATGAACCCATCCATTTGTGACCGTGTACATTTAGATGCATTGAGATTAGAACCTAAGTGCTATTTCAGGGAAGCCCTCCATCCAGTACTACCAGTATTACCTTTGTACCTTAGAAGCATTAGAGTGAAATGAACAATGGCGCCCCATGGAATGCAGTGTTGTAATGAAAACTCACAATAGACAGAGCTACTCACGGGAGGGTGAACTGGGGTCCTACTGTTTGCTTAGCCCTGACAAGCTGTCAGTGTCTCCTTTCAAAGGGAGGTTCTTGGAAACTAAAACCAACATCACCTGGCCGTTCTTGTTCCTTTGCTCTTCTGTAAATGGTGGTGAACACTGGCATTCTGTTCATAGAAACATTCACATGAAAACAATAGTTCCAGCCAATATGTGCCTCTGAGAGGCGAAAGTGCATGTGCTACTCTGAAGGACTTCTGTGTGGCTACAATGCCATCACCTCATGCAGTTGGGATAATAAAAAATAGAGCAGTGCACCTCACCAAAAGGACGAACATTGATCCTCATTGGCCATTATAACTCTATTTCTGTGCTAGAGTGTTCCGGGGAGGACTCTGATTGTTCTTGGAAGATTCTATTCCTTTTACTGGCTCTTACCTCAATATTATAAAGTCATCAATTCATGGAGTAAGGAAGAGTCTTGGAGTCTAGTCTAGTTTCACACATACTACAGCAGATACCTCCGTGACACCTAAGAGTGACACCCCACTTCACCAGGACGGCACAGAGCTGACCAATTTGAGTGAGTTTCCACCCTGTATGTTGGCTTTAGTTGTTAGGAAGATTGTTTTGTGCTGAGCAGTAACGAATCTGCTTGTAATTTCTGTCCATCAGTCCTTGTTCTG